GAACAATATAAGGAGCACGTAAGCTGGCATGGGTACTGTGGCTTGAAGCTGAAGTGACAGGACACACCTCGTTCTTATTACGGATACCTCTTAGTCACTGCATTATGGATAGATGCTTTGAGATATGTGATATGGATGCAGCACTGAGCATGGGGAGCATGACAGGCATGTTCAGGACAATCATAGAGGCCTGGTTACAAAAAGGTGAAAACTGGTACTAGGTTATGATTTGGGTAAGTTTTGATTTTTTTTTTTTTTTTTTTTTAACGTTCAACTGCTCTATAGTAGTGTACATACTGTAGGTATTAGAGTTTTACTTCTGACCTCAATGTAAGAAACCCTTTTTCACACATGAAGAGCACCTCGATCTCTAGTGCATGTGCAGACTGAGACAGACCTTATATACACTGTTTGACCTGCTTTTGAGTATGAACACATGACAATCAATCAAGGTCTTGCCACATATAAAATCTGCAGTGAACTGGAACTTTACTTTAGAGACCCTGTACTCATCTTAAAAAAAAAAAAAAAAAAATGCAGGTAAAGGCACTGAAAAATCAAGTATTGATAATGTTTACCTATAGCATTTTTCTGTAACAATTTTTTATTCACTTACAATGTGCCCTGAGCTTGCTAAGGAAAGTGACAATTCAAGGAAGACTTGATTCTCTTGCACAGTTCCCCTTCCCTTCTTATGGGAGTGCTGGCCCAGCTCCTCCACCTCTCCCCATTTTCTTAAAGTGGTTCTAAAGGCCTACATTTTTTTTTTTTACCTTAATGCATTGATGCAAGGTAAAAGACCGATCTTGATCCAGTGCTGTGCCCAAGAGCAGCGGCTTTCTCCACTCTCTCTTCACAGGACAGAGAGGTTCCTGCTGCAGTCAATCAAATCCTGTGATGAGGGAGCAGGCAGCAGGGTCGAGCTATGCTGTCTTTGTCTATGGACGCAGGTAGAGCAGCTCGGGATCAAGCCTGCACAAGTGCCTGCATAGAAAGCAACTTCCAAAGGAATAGGTAGAGAAGGTTTATACAAATTGTCAGTGTGTTACTGCTTTCCATGTCCCTGTTGGGAGATTTGCTCTCAATTGTCCCCAATGACAGATGTCGGCATGACAGAAAATGAGGAAGAATCTAAAAATGTAACGCTGTCCTTGAAACAGGAGGTGAGGGGACACCTTCTAATTACACCTGTTCAGATCCGTCAGAAGGTAGGATTTTCCCTTGACTTCTCAACTTTTGAAGATTCACATTCAGAGACAGAAAGGCAATATACCCTTCAACTTGAACACTTTAGCCAGTGGAGCAAAAAGGTGCACAAGGTACAGTATACAGTATGATGAAAATCAGGGACACTCAGCAGGAGGGCTTTGTCTTTGTTTAAGTGAACCTGTTCTATGGTTGACTGGCCTACAAAACTGACATCAAAGTATGGCAATTTTGACATGGTTACAAGTTGGACCATTGTAAGTATGTATGTGCCCACTGAGGCTAGAAATCAGTGTAGTAGGTGCTAAAACTACAGTGATCTCCACTAGATTCTGGATCCTGTGCCTGGTGCTTTAACGCCTTCTCACTGCTTGTTTTAACCCTGTTAATGCTACACTACCACACCTAATTGGTTCAGATCATTTTTGTTACAGAATGTATAAACCCTTGTCCAGCTGCCTTTCAGGTGGTGGGGGGATTCAGCTCAACCGGGGCGGCTCTACGCTTTGTAAGGCCTAAAGGTAAAAAAACTTAGACATGAGGCTCCACTCTTGGCCATAATGGAAAAAATAATTCAGGCGATAAACGTTAGGGATGGGTAAGGCAACCATTGGGGTTTCAGGAGTGGGGTTAACAATTTAAGTGTGCTGTAACCTGTAACTCTCGCCTCTGTTAGGCTGGGGGGGTTGGAGAGGTGGATGGAGGGTATAAAAAAGTAAATTGCAGGTTTTAAAGGATAGGTTCACCTTATGGGCAAAAATAATAAATGCACATTATTTTGCAGGTAAAAAAAAAAAAAAAAAAATGTGCAATAATTATTTTTGTCCAAAGGAGCCTGTAAAGCATTGCACAAGTGATCAGTAGACCTGTCAGAATGTCTGCTTGCCATACGGGATGTACTAGCAAGCAGATACACTGACAGGAAGCTTCAATGAACTACCATGGTGCTCCACAGAACTGTGGTAGTTCAATGAAAACTACAAGCAGACAGCCACTAAGGCTGTTGGGACTTGAAGGCACTCATTCAGAGAACTCTGTCAATGAGTGACGCAGACATGTGGGCAGAGCCCGCCGTTTTCAAAGCTGACAGTACAGGGGAAGTTTCCCCATACTATCTGTCAAAAGGTGGGGGGGCAGGGCTGCGCCTATGGGAACATGTTCCACGAGTGGAACATGTTTCAAAGGTGACCTTATCCTTTAAGTGTCTCACAGCTGACAGAGCAAATGCAGTACATACCAAATCTCAGGTAGAGACATGAGATGCCAACCACTGCACTGTTGTGACTCCACTAACCCCTCATTTGCCACACTGATAATGCTGTCCTGTGGAGCGCCCCTCCTTGTAGGCCCAGCACTGATAATACTGTCCTGTGGATGGGAGGGGTGACGTGCGTGGATGCAGCGTCACTCCTCCATGGCTGGTTAGCGAGACTCTAGAAGGGTGACGCATTAGGTGATTGACAGGGCTCTTAATGCTGCCTGAGCAGGTCCCCTGTCCCTCAAAACTGGGGTAATGCATTAGGCCACTGTTTCTCCGTTTTACCTTCAAGGAACCCCTGGTAAAGGTTTGAGATCTCGGGGAACCCCTGAAATGTTCACATCTGCAGCTCATGGAACAATGGTATGATCAGTGAGCTGTTAATAAAAATTATTTTTAGAAATGGCATTAAATAATATTAAAATTTACCTATTTAATGTGAAACTTGTGCTTTCTTTTTCTGCAGAGATGCTCCATTCTGGGTCCAACTTGGGATAAACTGCATGTGGGAGGGCAGGGTACAGGGGCTCAAGAGGGCAGACTACATGAGCGGGAAGCAGGGCACATTATGTGGGGAAAAAGGCACATTAAGTGGAGGCAGAGCCCATTACAGGGGGGCAAGGCACACACATGGGACAGACTGTTGGGCACAGTGTGGGGGACACAGCTGGGCACACTACAGTACCGGCTGCCTTCTACCCAGTTTCAAAAGTGACTTTCAACAGTCCTCCAGTGGTGCGCTGTTTCCCGCTGGCCCCTCTTCCCCTCCTCCTATCCTGTCCATCCCAGATGATGTCACGTACAAGTGGGATGAACAGGAGGGGACGAGGGGCCAGCAGGGAACAGAGCGCTACAGATAATAGTATGCCTTCCCTGCAAGTGCATCCATGCGATCTACCCATCAGCTGCCTCAGTCTGACAGGTAGATCACCGCAGATCCCCAATTGAGAAACACTGCATTAAGCAAAAAGCTCCAAGGCCGTTGTGAGCAAAGGAAACCACCTAATTTGCCTAATCAAAGGGCCGCCTCGTCTGCCACCAGTCATGCAATGGGACATTAGTGCTAATGATGGGTGTGATTGTGGGTAGGACAGACCAGGAGTCTCCTTGCCTGTTAATAAAATTAGGCTGTAATAGTGGGTGGGAAAACCAGGAGTCTGAGATCCCTGGGTCCTCCTACAGCAGCAAATGGTGTACAACTCTAGAACTACCAAGGGGCTGTCACACAATTGCTGGCTGAGGGAAGGAATGGACATAGCCTCCACTGGTCCTACTAACAGGAAATCAGGGACACAGAGCCCTGTGAACATGTTAATCAGAGATTTACCAGTTGCTGCTGCAGTACACTGACAAAGAAGAACACAATTATACAAGGTAGCAAATTACATTTTTAAAAATGTTTTTAATGTTAATTTTTTACAATTCTTCTGCGTGGAGTTTATTTTTAAAAACGGATACAATATTATAGCAGAGTAAACAAGTTTTATTGGTGATTGCAGGCAACCTATTGCTTTCTAAGATACATGTTAATAAAAATTAATTCAAATTTTGTAAATGATATGCCCCTTATAAACCCAGTTGTGTGAACAGTTAGGAAGGTTATACATTAATTTTTTATTTTTTTTCATTCAACCAGTGGGTTGAACAATAAAAAAAAAAAAAAAAAAAAGATCCAATTCCTTCATCCACATATTCGATTTGGGGGAAATCCCTCCCGCTGTGTTACTGTGTTCTCACGTCAGGGGGACTTCCCCACCATCAGAATACAATAATCATTGCTGCAGTCTATAACCCGCGACACTGATCATTTGGGAAAAACCCAACAGGCTGGTTGTACAGTAGATTGACTTTTGTACAATTAGGGTCCCCATAAATGGATCAAAATCGGCTGGTCCCTGCTGAATCAGCTGAATTTTGATCCATGTATGGCCATCCTAAAGAGTGACTAAAAAAGGCTCATTAAATCTAAAACAATTGTTAGATCTAGAACAGATGAGACAGAGCCATTTGACTCTTCCTGCAAAGTTTACCTGTACTGGAGTGTGCCTGTGCTAACCTCCTGGTGATTGCTCAATGAATCAACACAGAGGTTACAGATTTCTGAAGCTTGCACAAACATTGCAATGACTTGGAGTGATGATGCTCTTATTGGACAATCTGTATTACATTGTATTCCTAACAAACAGAACAATGTATGCAGCATGCACTACAATCAGCCCTATAATGTTGTCCATTCTCTGTGCAGGTACACACAGACACACCGCTACATGGAAAACTAAAAAACAATTTAAACTAATTTTTCCTCAAGAACATTTAGCTGGAAAACCTGATTTCATTAACCGCTTCCCTGCCGCCCTATAGCAAAAATACTGTAACAGGGCAGCAGGGGTATGCAAAATCACATATTTACGTAATTTTGTAGTTCTGGGTAGGGGACCCGTGCCACCATTCGTGGCTGTCAATCACCAGATCCCGGCCGGTGAATACCGAGGAACTCCGGTGGGGAGGGGGGCTGCTTTGTTTACCAAAACCTTCCTGTCAGCTCAGACACACTGCCCTGGATAGCTGTGCACACCACAGCCATCCAGAGCAGTGTGCTTACATTGAAGCACCAACACACCGCCCTGGATAGCTGTGCACACCACAGCCATCCAGAGCAGTGTGCTTACATTGAAGCACCAACACACCGCCCCTCAGTAAAACACTCCCAGCACATAGTTAACCCTTTGATCGCCCCTTATGTTAACCTCTTCCTGACCAGTGCCATTAGTACAGTGTCAGGGCTATTTTTCTAGCACTGATTACTGTATTGGTGTCACTGGGGATGTCAGTGACGCCAAGTCAGTTCCCCCAGTGTCAGAATGCCTGTTGCAGTCCCGCTATAAAATCGCTGATCGCCACCATTACTAGTTAAAAAAACTTCCAGTATGTATACTGCCATTTGTAAACGCTATAACTTTCATATAAAACCAATTAATTTACATGTATTGGGATTTTTTTTTTTTTTTAGCAAAGACATGTAGCAGAATACATTTTGGTCTAAATTTGACAAAATTTGATTTTTTTTTATTTTTTACTGGAAATGTTTAACAAAATATGTTTAGCAAAAAGTTAAAAATATTGTTTGCTTTTTTTTTTCTCAAAATTGTCAGTAAATGCATCAACACAATAAGTGAATCATTCTATACTTCCTTTTTTTTCTAACATATTTACAGAGTACAAGGAAAAATATTCTGGTGAGGAAATAAAAATTCTAGACTTAAAAAGGAGAAACTAACCTCTGGAAGCCGTGCCCAAAACAAAACAAAACAAAACAAAAAAAAAAAAAAAAAAAAAGCTGATCTTTTCCCCAATATGACTTCCCATGCCTTGTCTGAGTGCTGGCAGGCAGCTTGGTATGTGCAGTGCTTTGCTTCCTCAAGTCAGAGCCCCAACCAAAAAAACAGTAAGCAATGCAAGTAGCGACATCACTCCAAATCTCCTAGGATGAGCACTCAGTGGCAGCAGTGCTTTAGATCTCACAGTGCATATACAGTATACATTTGTATCGAGGCAAAAGGAAGTGCATGGCTATTTTTCAGGAGAAATTCAAAACAAAGTAAATTTTTCAGAAAATCACCTAAAACACAATTATCATTTATAAATCATTCCAACAGCATAAAAGTGTTTAGTTTTTGAGTTTATATCCTGCAAAGGAGTTCCAATGGCCACAGCATGTACTTTCATTTTCTAACATCAACTTTGCAATAATAATACAGACAAGAGTTATATTTGACAATCCATTTTATATTGACTTGAAATATCACCATTCATATTGTGAGTGCTGCCTGTCTGCGGACCATCACTTTCCACAACTTCCTGTATCCCCTGCATTCTTAGCAGCTCCTTCTCTGTTTACATTCAGTTTCTAAGGACTACATATCCCATGATACCTTGCTGCCTGTAAGCATTGAGTCCTGTACTGACTCTGTCTCCTGAAAACTCCTCCTCCCAGCAACTCTGTAGTTCAGAAGGCATGCTTTGTGAAATGTGTGACACAGCAGTGCCTACTCACAGGGCATGAATACATGTCACAGAATTGAAGAAAGTAAATGTGTGGGGGATCTTCACAAAGTTTACAAACGTCAAGATTGTTCAGGTTATCAGAAGTAGGCTAGAAGTAATTGAGAACAAATGTGAAAATAAATATATTGTTTTACATTTTGACCACTGATGCAATTTAATGTAACCCTGCTGTTAAAGTGTATACATAAAACATTTGTAATGTTTTTTTTGTTTTGAATGGATTGCAAGGCTTCAGAAAACTGCAGCTGCATGAAAAGAGACAGCAAAAAGACCAGTCAGTGGAGGACCAAGGCAGCGTTGTTGGATCATTCCCACATATGAAAAATGGAAGGTCATGTTATGGAGAGTTCAGGTAAGTAAAAAAAAAAAAACACACTGGGGATGTCAGTGGCAGTTAGTTCCCCCAGTGTCAGAATGCCCGCTGCAGTCCCACTATAAATCGCTGATCATCGTCATTAGTATAGAAAATTTATATATATATATATATATATATATATATATATATATATATATATATATATATATATATATATATATACACACACATACATACATACATACATACATACATACACACACACATATATACAGACACACATACATATACACACACATACATACATACATACATACATACACATATACACACATACACTGCCATTTGTAGACGCTATCACTTTCATGTAAACCAAATTACAAATATTGGGACTTTTTTTTTTTTTTTTTTTTTTTTTTTTTTTTAACAGAGACATGTAGCAGAATACATTTTGTCCTAAATTTATGATGAAATATCATTTTTTTTTACTGGATATGTTTTGTAGCAAAATGTCAAAAATAGTTTTTTTTTTTTCAAAATTGTCGGTCTTTTTTTGTTTATAGCGCAAAAAATAAAAACCGCAGAGGCAATAAAATACCACAGAAAGAAAGCACCATTAGTGGGAGAAAAGGACCTAAAATTACATTAGGGTGCAGAGTTGTATGACCGCGCAATTGTCAGTTAAAGTAACGCAAGTGGTTAAAAGCCTTTCCAAGAGTAACCCCCCCCAGCCAAAGTGGACTAAAGCCCCCATTACAGCCCCTCTATTGCACAGCCTTGGCCTTGCGCCAACATGAAATTCACTGCTGCACAGTTAAACTGATTCCCACAGCTAGGGTTTATATCCAATTCTATTCCAACAGAGAAGCCTAAGAGCCTAAGACACATTATTATTATTATACAGGATGTATATAGTGCCAACAGTTTGCTCAGCGCTTTACAATATAACGGGAGACAATACAAGAGGGATAGGAGGGCCCTGCTCTTTGGAGCTTACAATCTAGGACATGAACTGGCTATGATGTCTGGCAGGGGGTGGCCTTGATCATAAGACTGGCTGAGCACAACTACAACTCCTTTGAAAAGTAGCAGTTAAGTTATATGTATTTCAGGCCAGGAGTTCAGCTTTACATTTAATGGCAGACTACTTCCTTACAAGGGATGCTTCTCACTGCCAGTGTGAATGATTTACATTAAGTAGTCTGTGCCAGCAGAAGCACGTTGCATGTGCTGGCACACTATGCCTGGGCCTGATAATAAAACATTCAGCAGCAGTATATGGAAGCAGCAGAGCATTCATCCCTAGGACAGCAATGAAGAAAGGGAGGGAGGGTGGAGTGATGGAAGAAAACTGCAGATCAGGCAAAACACACCCCTATTGTAATACAGCACAACAAGCTCAACGCAGAGCTGATAATGAAACAAGGAATAATTAGCATAACTGTTACGTCAGAAAATGCCAACGCATACATAAACACATCATTCTGTATTTTGCCTTTAGAATTGCTAGGTATACACAAACATATTTTTATATTTTTCAAATAATAGTCCACAAACTGCTATGTAAGTTATCAGGATCAGTTCACCAAGACGTAAGAGCCAATTTAAAGTGTCAGTAAACCCAATTTTGTGTGTAATTATCTTTGAAACTGTGATCTCTATCTGGTTGCCTAACTTATTCAACCAGCGCATTTATATTATTTGTAATTACCTGGTTCATCCTGCCAATTCAATTTCGCTATTATAAGTGGCAACGTTATAGCAGCGGAACCTCTGGTTCCTGCATTGCCACTCTCAGTGCACATGCTTTGCCAGTTCCCTATTAGGAAGCCTTCACTTTCTACTCTGGAAGTCACCCCATGTGACTTTTCATTGGTCTGTGGGTTGGCTCCAGCAGGTAGATCCACAATTATGCACTCCCACTTGCTCTCCTATGTGTTAATCTGCAGAAATTATTTTTTTAATCTGTACACACGACAACAAAAGTGCTTAAATCACCCGTTTGTCAACTTCCTGCAGTGATGTCTGTGGGTTACATCAGAGGTTTCCTGCTCTGATGGACAAGAGGTTAGGGCATAGGTCTGGATGTGTAGAAGAGCAATGATGAAGGGTATGATAGCAGCCACTATGTGTAAGCATGACCTTTAGAGGGTAGGATAGTAGGCAGTATGTACAGATGTTTGGGATATGAGTTGGGGTAGTATGTGAACCCAATATGTGAAAGAGGAGTGAAGTGCGGACAGTGGGGGGACAGAGTTCAGAGGATACATGGTGGGAACATACGTACATGGGGGCATATGGAGGGAATAACTGCAGCAAGCACTGTATATTGGAAAAAAAAACAGTGGTAGAGGGTGGACAGTATGTGCAGGAAAGTAGTACAGAGGGTATCAGGGTGGGGAAAATGTGCAGAAGATAACAGAGGGTCCAACACCAAACCAATTTACATCAGTCTCTTCCCTAAAGTAACTTACTTTTTAATGTCCCTTTCACAGTCTCACACACAAGGCCAATTTGTGAGAAAGCCATTTACCCTTGCTATGTTTTGGAAATGTGGGAGGAAAGAAGACATACAAATAGCAAGCAGATCATGCTTTTAGTGCATGTGAACTCAGAACCCCCCTCGGAATTGCAAATGTGTTTAGCAAAAGTATTCTGAACCTAACCGATCACTTTAAGTATGATGCAATTTCAACTTTGTTCAAAAAATGAGATTTAGCCCAAAAAAAAAGTCTCTCTAGGTTTCATCGGACTATCAAACCTTCCCCCACATCACAGCTGGGTAACGCATGTTTATTTGCATTCCAGATGTGCTTTCATCTCATGCTCCTATACACCAGTTTGAATGACTGAAGCTGCATCTTTATAGTGATTAGTGGCTTTGCTCACAAGTCTCTGTCTAGTTTGTATACAATGTCTGAAGGAAATGGATAATAAAAGAAAAGAAAAAAAAACTACAGAGACTGCCTTAGCTAGGTCTTCCTTTTGAAAAAGTATACAGGTAAGGACTTTTGAAAATTTCTAATCTACAGGTTAGGTCCATATATATTTGGACACAGGCACAATTTTAGATTTTTCATGTATTGACCAAAACATATTCAAGCTATAGTTATATAATGGATATGGGATGAAAGTGCGCACACTCAGGTTTAATTTGAGGGTATGTACATCTAAACTGGAGGAAGGGTTTAGGAATTACAGCTCTTAAAAGTAGCCATCCCCCCTTTTTCAAGGGACCAAAAATTATTGGACAATTTAATATAATCATAAATAAAATGTTTATTGTAATATTTTGTTGAGAATCCTTTACTGGCAATGACTGCCTGAAGTCTGGAACCCATTGACATTACCAAAGAATGGGTTTCCTCCTTTCGGACGCTTTGCCAGGCTCTAACTGCAGCTGTCTTCAGGTGTTCTTTGTGGGTCTTTCTGCCTTTAGTTTTGCCTTCAGCAAGTGAAATGCACATACTGTAGGCTAACGTGGAGAGGCATTTAGAGGCAGAA